ATTATTTTCATTGATGAAGGAAAAATATGGCATCATGCCGATAATGGAACACTATGCCTGTATGGTGAACCTTTACGGGAGGGCAGGATTGATTAACGAGGCTTATGTGGTGATAATCGATGAAATGGAGGTTGAGGCTGGACCTACTGTGTGGGGAGCATTGTTGTATGCTTGTTACTTGCATGGAAATGTGGAGGTAGGAGAGCTTGCTGCTCAAAATCTCTTCGAGCTGGAGCCGGATAACGAACATAATTTCGAGCTGTTAATGAAGGTTTACAGTAAAGCGAGGAGGATGGAGGATGTGGAGAGAGTGAGAGCAATGATGTTGGATAGAGGCTTGGAGATTTGAGTTGAACTCTATTGAGAAGAAGATGCAATTCATAAATCCTGAACTGCTGCTACTACTCTTAACTATGATTTTATGGTAGATTATATAATAAGTTATTTAATTTAAGTATATAACGATGAGGCCAAAAATATATATATATATATATAATAGTTTATGAAATTAAATAGTATTTATTTAATGAAACAAACATCAAGAATCAAAATTTATGTGTAAACATTGAAGAAAACTCATACATAGATTAAGCCAAGGCATTCAAGATCTAAATGTTACCGCAATCATGTTTGTGTACTTTTGGCTTTTATCGTTGAAGAAAACCCCCTTGTGTGCAATTTCAAATTTGCAGTCAATCCACGGCATTCTATATATGAAGAAGCCATTTTCTTTTACAAATTACTCCTTCATTAGTGTTTAAACACACAATTAATAGTGTAAAATTTATTATATGTGAGTGTGTGTGTGTGTATATATATATGATGTTGTTTTCATTAAAGGAAAATTTGAAATAAATAGGAATTAAAGCTGAGTGTGTGTTCATAATAATTAAGCAACGAAATTAGATAGGAATATATACAAAAACAAAATCGCATTCATCAAATTGTATTGAAGAAAATTAATTATAAGCGAAAGAAGTCTCTAATGTTTGTCGAAACATATAAATTAAAACTCTAAAGGTGTGTTTGGCTGATTATTTATTAGTATATGATATAATAATTTTATAATTTTATTTTTTTTATTTATATTTTTATGCATATGATATAATTTTTTGATAATTATTGTATGATTATTAAAATCACAATTTTTTTTTATTTTTTTTAAACCACCAAATTACTATTGTGTAGTTTAGATGATTTTTTTTTTTTTCATTTATACTCTTACTCTTTTTTATTATTTATATTTATACATTTATCTTATTATGAAATTTATTTATTTTACTATATATTATATATAATGTTTATTTATTATTATATATAATAAATTATAAATAAAATAAATATTTGATCAAATATATAATCATATTATTTTATTAATACAAACAAATATAATTTTTATTATTATACGTTAATATACAATTTTTTTAAATATAATATAATTTTATTATTGTTATACAATATTATATTAATGAACTAAAATCATCCAAACACAGCCTACGACTTCCGCGTTAATTAGTAAGGTCCCCACCATGATCAGGCCTAGATATCCTTACATGCATTGGTACCAAATTCCTCTTCAGTGCCGTTGATCGTTGACTATCACTACAAATCAGTGAAATCATTATTTTTTAATATAAAATTACGACTTTCTCCTTCAATAACAATATAATAAATAATTTCTCAACCACGTCTTCCTAGAAAATAATGTAAGTAACAACCAATATATATTTTTTTATAATTAATTTTTTAAAAAATATATATATATTTTTTTTATGTAAAGTTGACTCTGAAATTCTTCTGTGGGGCCTTCGACACATTCTGTAAATCAAAATAAGAGAGAAAAATAATAAATAATAAATAAAATTTAAACTTTTTAGGTGCTATAAATACTCAACGCTTCTTCCTAATCCTCAGTTCGAGCAGAAGAAATGAGTAGCAACAAGCTCTCTCCGTCTTGGGTGCTTCTCTTCGTTCTCGTGCTTCTCTTAACTCTCAATGTTGCAGCAGTTAGGCTACTTTCTGCACTAGACGGTGAATAAAATTATATCTACTTGTTATTTTATATATGTGCGCATGTGTGTGTGTGTATAAGGCTAAAGATACTTGAACAAATAGGTTGACTAGATATATATACTATAACCCTGTTTGCTTCTGTTATATATGTACAAGAACTCATAATCTACCTTTTAACAATGTTGATCAACTATAAATGAAGCTAACGAACTATGGCATGTATATACATATACTCCTGAAACTTAATTCGGAAAGTTGATGATGAGTGTTAAGTTAATCTTTTTCTCCAGATGAATGGAAATATGTTTATATGATTTCAGGACGTGTAGGCTATGATTCTGATGACAATCCATTCGGTGGTGGGTGGATTAACAAGCCACGTATCAATCCTTGACGCCATGATCACCCCTACACCAACCTGCAAAATGCTATATAAACATATACACACACATATATATGCATATATGTTGCAGATAAAAATAAAGTGATGTATAGCTCATGATGTTTATACATCTCTTAAGTTTCTAGATAAATAAATTAGTCAGCTTCTTGACAGATTGTTATCACCCTTAATACCCAGAATACATGTATGTATTCTGCGCGACAAAAAGATATTGGTAACTATATGATTACCTACTTCGTTAATGAATTTTATAGTAACAGAAATATGTGTCCCACCAAATAAATTTTGTAACTTGGTATTCTCTGCAAAAAAAAGATGATTCAATTGGATCAACATGAAAGTTTTAACTATATTGCATGTTAGAATCCGTTTTGTGTCTGTAGAAAAATTTATGATACAACAAACATCAAGACTCAAAATCTTATCAGTAATCATTGAAGACAACTCAGATCAAGCCGAAGGTATTCAAGATCTAAATGTTAAGCTTGTTCGTCAGTGAAACAAATAGTTGAATCATACCAATAACTTGTTTCTGTACTTGGGATCAACCCCCTTTTGGTCAATTCAGATTTGCAGTCAAGCCACGTTCTTGTGTATAAATGCAGTAGCCATTTTCTTTCTTTTCGTTTACAAACCACTCTTTTTCTTTCATTTCTTTTCTGTATTCATTTCATTAGTTTTTACACAACGATGTGTAAAATTCATGAGTGTGTGTGTATATGTAAGGCTAAAGATACTTAAACAAATAGGTCGGCCGACTATATTTATAGCTCACAAGGACTCATAATCTACTTTTAAACAGTGTTGATCAACTATAAATCATGCTAAATACATATACTCCTTTTCTAACTTAATACCGAAAATTGATAACTGATAAGTATTAGTTAATCTTTTTCTTCAGATGGGTGAAAATACGTTTATATGCTTTCAGGAAGTGAATACAATGATTCTTATGACAAACCATGGTGTTGTGGGTGGGAGAAGCGGCATATGGAGCCTTGACTGTACTATTCGTCGTGATCACCCTACAGCAACCTGCATAATGCTAATATATACACACATATATGCATATACTTTGCAGACGAAAATAAAGTAGCTCATGATGTTTATGTATCTCTTAATTTTCTAGATAAATAAATTCCTCAGCTTCTTGACAGAACCCTTAATCCATGTGTACCTGCGATCTTTAGGGTTAACGAAAGCTTCTATTGTATTTTGATTATTTTAACGTAATAAACAAATTCACCAATTAATCCTCCAGATTATCCTGTGATTAATAATTTCTTCTTCTAATTTAAACATCAAATGAAATAAAAAAGTGCATCCGGAAAAATCATCAAATAAGATATTGTTTACATTAAAAAAAACATGGGTTTTAATGAGAAACAAACCATCTCATCATGGCAAAATGAAGTTTGTCATGGCATCATACCTCTCAGCCTCTAGAAGATCTCCGCTTGTGGATACACAAGTAATTTGAAAAAATGCACGTTGAGTGCAGAAGAGATATCTTAACCGTAAGTACACCACCTGGAGTGAAGAAGAGATATCTTAGGGTAGGTAATAAATCGGAGATATCTTGCTTAACTTGATGAACTCCAGATGAATTCTTTTCTTGTATGGCTAAACCCAAAGGAAAATTTTTTGTTACCAAAGTTGGATGCCAGACCCACCACAGAAGGAAAGTCAGAACAAAATTTTTCCAAGGTATCTAAGGCAAAAGTATATATAATCAAATCCTAACACCCAAATCATCAACTTCTTTCCTTAAAAAAAATCATATCAGATGGACAGATCCATATTCCGCTTACGGCTCCCCTGGCTATCGGCAGTTTCAGCTCCCCGTCCAGCACCAACCC